GTCTGCGTAACCTTCTTGTTCACAGCTCCCTCGCCCACCCTCAGCAATCATCCACACCAGGTACTTTCCCCTGCAACAGAGCTCGCTGCATCACCTGCAAGTACTGTACATATCTAACACCACACTCATTCAGTGTCCCTCAGGACAATTCTGGATCACCCAGGCGACCCCTTGTACCTCCAGCAACTTAATTTACTGTATACCTTGTAGTAAATACCCAGTTATCTCTGTTGGGGAAACCAGAAGGAGACCGCTTCGGAAAACAAGTGAGGACTGTAAAGATTAAAGATTTCTCCAAGCCCATTGTTTCACCTCAGATGCCCATGATCACACTGATCTCTCCATCTATGTTCTCAAAGAAGGGTTTCTTAACTCTTATGGCAGAAAGACATCAGAAACAAAAATTATCCTGAAACTTGGTTCACACCTTCCCCCTTCTCTTAATGGCAGACTTGTTTTTGTGGAATCTTCTCTATTCACATGCAGGTTTCGACTTCACCCCTCTTTTCACCTCTCCTCACTTCGCACCACCTGAGTGGCCTCTCTGCCTCTCCCCTGCTCTCACCTCCTCCACTCTCCCTGCTTTTGTGCTCCAATGCTATTTAATCTTTGCTGTCTGCCCTGTCTTTCTCACACCCGAAGAAGGCTCCACAGCCGAAACATTGTGTTTTCTTTCTTCTCTTTTCAGCATGGAATAAAGCTATTACTTGTTCCTCTGATACTATAGATTACACTCATGATCCAATTCAAAATAGCTTCCATAATTATATTAAGTTCTAGTGTTAAGATTGTAAACTTCATTTGGATTGGTTTTATTGCATTACAATGGAAAGCAAACACTGAACAGTACATATTGCTGAACAAAAAGCTTAAATAAGAAATAATAGTTATAGACAAGAGTGTTTTTTCATCCATCTTGCAGTTGAAGGTGAGATTAATTTATATTCTGCTTATCTCTTTGATTGTTAGGTATGATAGTGTTCCAGTAAGATAGTACCATGAGTTTATATCAAAATCCCAAGGGTAATGTTCCACTGTCACCTCTCACTGCTTGTCTCTCCCTTTAAATGATCATTCAAAAGCTGTACAATACACACAAACACAAATGCATGCATTAATACCTAGATACCTACTGTATGTAAACATCAGTGACTATAATATCCTTCACGTTTCATACTAAATTGTGTTTGGCCTGTATGGTGAAATTAATTAAAACTCTTCAGTCCTCAGTTTAACCATCAGTTCCAGAACAATCTTGGAATGGATGTTTATTTCAGTGTTTTGGGGAATCTACAGTATGAAAAATGTTTGAAAATTCAATTTAAATGAATTATGCAGTGAATGTTACATAGAAAATACTTATTTATCTGATTTATTAAGTTCTATATTTTTACTTGTATATTGTAGATACATTTCAATTGAATAAAATTCAATTTAGATAAGAAATGTTGAGGATAGATATCAATATCGGATATAGGGTACTATTAAGTTTTTGAAATATACTGATAAACTAAAGAAACACAACTCTCTGGTCTATTAGACTTAGTCAAATATTTTTAGCATAATGTGGATATCAAAATATACAGAATATTTGAAAAGTACTGATTAAAGAATCAGGATACATTTTCATGAAGGAATGTGACCCTCCCTGAGCATTACAATTCCAGCAGCATTCACACATGCTGATGGGCCTCCTGATAGACTGCTGCAGATGTTCCACTGCTCTTCCTCTGCAGCTGCAGCCAGCTGGCACAGGTTGGCTGGTCGTAATATCTCCTGTTGATGCCATTGGCAGGCTGATAGCACAGATGATCTGTTGGACCTAGATCACGAGATAAGGCTGGTCTTGACATTTTCTTGAAATTGTAATGCTAGCAATGTGTGGTTTTATATCATCCTGCTGTATTCAGCTTGCCAAAATGTAAAAAAAAAAACTGTTGGCTCAAGGACTTGCAAATCTATCACTGAGCAGTAAGGTTGCCCTCAATTATGCAGGCAGATCTTGCAGACCTGACAGTCCAAGGCTATTGTGTTGATCCCCAGCCTTCCAGGACAAGTCCTGTCGCTCACAGAGCTGCTTTCCTGGTTTGTCTGGGGCAGTCAGCTAAGGAATAGTATGTTGGTGTATAAACTGCCTTCAGTCATTCTGATAGTGACAGAGAAAGTTTTCACAACTTAAGCATTATCATCAAATACCTTGTTCTTTCATTAAATAAATTCATGGTGACTTTCTCTTTATAAAGATTCTTAATCAACAGTTTAATTCAACTGAAATATGAAATATTGAGTACCTGGCATTTTTCTGAAATCACAATACTTCTCAAAATCTTTGCTTATTATTAAACATGTAAATAGCACTATGCTCAATGTGAGCGGTAAGGTACGCAACGGTTAGCATTGCTGCTTCACAGTGTTGGGGCCCTGTGTTCAGTTCCTATCTTTGTGGAGTTTGCATGTTCTCCTCTTGCTCACTTGGGTTTCCCCCCGTAGTCCCCCCGTAGTCCGTGGTAGGTTAATTTTCTTCTGGGAAAATTGTCCCTGGTGTGAGTGTGTTTGTGTCCAGAGTGTGCCCTGCATTGGTCTGGTGCTCTATCCAAGGTGAATCCTGCCTTGTGTCCGTTACTGGGATAGGTTCCAGCTCCTCCGCAGCCCTATTTTGGATAAAGTGGTTAGAAAGTGGATGGATGTACTCAATGAACCATCAATGTAAAACAATGTAAAGACTGTGTCTTCATATCACCCTGCAACTCACAACTGGCAACCCACTGAAGCCAAGCAGCCTGGTCAGTACCTGGATGCGAGACCTCCTGGGAAAAACTAAGGTTGCTGCTGGAAGAGGTGTTAGTGGGGCCAGCAGGGGGCGCTCACCCTGCGGTCCATCTGGGTCCTAATGCCCCAGTATAGTGATGGGGACACTATACCGTAAACAGGCGCCGTCCTTCGGATGAGATGTAAAACCGAGGTCCTGACTCTCTGTGGTCGTTAAAAATCCAAAAATCCAATCTACTCTTTTCTCAAAAAGAGTAGGGGTGTAACCCCGGCGTCTTGGCCAAATTTCCCATTGGCCCTTATCAATCATGGCCTCCTAATAATCCCCCTCTATGAATTGGCTACATTACTCTGCTCTCCTCCCCACTGATAGCTGGTGAGCGTTCTGGCGCACTATGGCTGCCGTCGCATCATCCAGGTGGATGCTGCACATTGGTGGTGGTTGAGGGGAGTCCCCATTACCTGTAAAGCGCTTTGAGTGGAGTGTCCAGAAAAGCGCTATATAAGTGTAAGTAATTATTATTATTATTATTATTATTATTATTATTATTATTCATTGTGCACCTCTATACTGTACATAGTCTGAACGGTTTTGTTCTGTTACATCGAAAGCATTAGTAAAATTATTCCTAGTGCTATAATTATTTTAGCTACATTTTAAGGTCCTTAGGTTCTGAAGCATCTCACATCAGTAAATAAATGAGGAAAAAAAGATTCCTTAAAGAAATTCCTTAAATTTGTAAAATGTATAATTTTTAAAAGGCAGAGGCAAGGACATTATTTATTTTTGAAGAAACCATAATCAGTGACCATTGTTACCAATTACAAATTTGTTCTGACTAAGCACAAATGTATCTTATGTTTTGTTCATAAATATATATATATATATGCAGCTACAACTGTTTACTAGGTTAAGAGTCTGCCTTTTGCAATGTAGCTGAAAATCTGAGCTTCAATGTGTTACTTTTAAATGTCAGTGCTTAAAGTCTTCGTATACTCATGGCATGTGCATCTTTAGGCTAGAGATTGTTATATTTCCTGGTTACTGTATTTCAACTTTGAGAAGTGGAGTTAGTCATATACAGTAGGTCGCTTGTTTCTAAAGATTATAAACATCTGTAAGCTATTGATGAATTAAGCAAGTAATATATTCAATTGCAAAAACTGCTCCTCTTGTGCTGAAGACTACTTGGATTATAGTTACAAATTATTACTTAATAAACTACTTGATTAAACAAATGTAATGCTTAAATGATCGCGAAAATGTTGTTCCAAGCCTTCAGAAACTGATGATTTAGTGCTGTAAAACAAAATTCAATTGTAAAATTGGATTGGGTCTCCCAGGACCAAGGCTCTAGACACCTGCATTAAGGGGATGAACTATTAGAGCTGAGAGAAGGAATGAAGGTGCTTTTAGCTGTGCGTTAAAAGATAGAAAATTAAAATGTTGTCTGTTGCATTAATTAGTCAATAAAATGAAGAGGTATAGTGTGACAACATCCCAAGGCAGCAACATTTGAACAAATTAATTTGTCTATTTAATTCTTCAGTATGCATGCATATACTGTAGGTGATACAGCTGTACACATTTCTCCCTCACAGCACTTGGGCTCAGGCTTTGAGTTCAGATGGGGGACATTCTAGGTGGAGTTTGCATGATCTCCCTGGAGATATGAGGGTTTTCTGTGTGTGCTTTGGTTTCCTCCCATATTCCAAACACATACTCTGTTGGTTAATTGGCAGCTCTCACACAGTCCCTTTGTGCTTGTGTGTGGTCTGAGATGGCCAAGATGTAGTTCTGTCTTGTGTCCAGTGTTTCTGTGTTGTTAGGAATAATAGTGTATCTGTAGCAAATACTGACATTGATATGTATGGATGTAGTTGTAAATTCAGTTTTAGTATGTTAGGCACAGTTTGGTTTTATTTCATAGTGGTTGCCAGAATTTTTACATCTTATCTCATAAGTACTAATACCAAATTACATTTTTGGTTGATTATTTTAAAAAAGGTTTATGTGCAGCTGGTTACCCTTTTATTGCTACTAACTTTCAAGTCTTAAAATATATTGAGATTAAAAATTAAATCATATCTTTGATAATAGTGCCATGAAAAGAGACAACATGTATAATAATGGCTTGAATTTCTGTAGAGCTTTTCAGTCCAAGGATCTGAAAACACTTAATCTGTAATATGGGGCAGTTTAATAAAGATATTTTCTTTTCTCTTTACAGGTGTTCCAGTGGATTTGACCGTCATCGCCAAGACTGGGTAGATAGCAACTGTCCTGATGAGGTATAGACATATTATTTTCTTATAATGATAGTATTCAGTCATGCAGAGTCAAAGCTTACAAATTGTTTTAGCTTTAGTTTTTAGTTAGCAGGGCTGTTTCACCATTTTAATGTCTAGAAACTGGAGACCCATTGGCTGGATAGATCCAGTCTTCTGTCCAAAGAAAAGAACTGCCCAAACCTTTAAGAATAGAAAGATAAAATTATCTTGATTTTACCAAATGAATGTGAATAGGTAAATAACGCCACCAATAACTGAGGAAGTTCAGATAACATCTCCAACAGTTAACATGGTATTTAAAAAATAAAGCACTTTTCAATGCATACAAATTCTGTGAACATCCACTTTGGCAGCACTCTAATTTTTAAGCCTTTTGATGACACAGATTGTTTCACTTTCAATTCACTTTTAAATATTATAAGAATTTACTAGAATCAGGTCAATCCAGATTGGCAGGAAAATCTTGAACGTATCACTTGAAAAATACAAAACAACAAAACTCTTTTTCTTTATTATTGTGTTTTGTCAGCTGCAAAAGCCTATAAAAAGATGCAGCTACTAAACTCAAAGAAACTAGAAAAAGTATGTGCTGTATAATAAAAGAGAGCAAAATATCTTAAGAAAACTCCTTATCTTTGCAGGCTAAAGGAAAAAACTGTGAAAGCATCGTAAACACCACACAGCTCTACCCCTTTACAACAACTATAGCTCCTAAAACATCACCAAGAAGCAGGATCACCACGACAACCAGCACTTCAACCTCTACCTCTCACTTTCCAACCAGCATCCCAACAGAAGGTAGGCAAGAGATGAAGCACTTACAGTATAACATTATATCATTGTAAAATTTAATTTTTCATTGTAAAATATGCTTTTTCTGAACAAAATGGAAGCATTTGAATGCCAAAGTTCCATTCCAAATTTTTAATTTGGCAAAGTTCAATGATTTATTTAAATGTCTCCCATTACACATTGTATCCAATTTCTAATTATACTTCCTGTGTTTGAAATTTTCTGGAAAGAATATAGTTTCCATATACTGTAGTTTCCACAATTTGCTGTAGACCATGCATTGCTTTATTTTTGCATAAGTAATTAAAATATCTTAGCTGTCTGAGATATCAGAACTGTGTTGATCTTTTGGATAACACCAATACAACATCTGATTGTAGAGTGAAATGGTAAAACATTTAGGACATGTTTTGCTTTATTCCACTGTATACACAATTGGCCATTATACAAATGCTCAATTTCACATACAGTACAGCACATTTTATATTTTATAATTTAGTAATAATATTTATTTATGTTATACCTGGAGATTCAGTGTCAATTAGAGGAGAAGTGCGTTGTTCAAAAGCACCTTTACTCCTAATTTCACCCTACTGTTAGTGGTGCTTGCCACAGCTGGTTATTGGCCTGACCCAGGATCGAGCCTGTGTTCATAGAGCTCATACTGCACTCAGGGAAGTGCAGATATCTGACCATGTAACAGCTAAGCCGATCAGGAGGTCCGTTGCACAAGTATTTTAATTTTCATTGCTCAAGTTATTAATTTCCTGATATCTTCACAGGCCCTTAATGTAGTTTATTACACAAGACACAGCAATTAGCACTCCTGAATTAGATAGATATATACTTTATTGTTCACTGCTGTGGAAATTTGTCTTTGTTAAAGTAAAAATAAATAGGTAGAGGGGGGAATACATTTACATACCTTCATTGAGTAGTTTTGTTGCAGAGGGGACAAAGGACTTCTTATAAATGTTTTTATTTTTTTTTATTTTATTATTTTTATTTATTACATATCTCTTATTAAAAAATCATGAAAGCTGATGGCTGGATGGCAATATGTTTAAGATAATAAGCTCAGGATAAGTGGGACAAGTGATAGTGTTAATTACTGCCAAACATTTGCTATTTTATTCTAGAATATTTTCTTTCTTTTCTAGAACATTTGCAATAAATTTGATTTGGTCATCTCTGAAATACAAATACTGCTAAATAAACCTATTTCAAAATTTTAAAGCCTTGAAGTGAACCTGCTTAATGGCAGGTTACCAAGACAAAGTGGATTGACAAACTGCAAAAAAAATGTTAATGTTCTTCAGAGCAGTTAATCATTTTTCTGTGAGAGAAAATAACTGCATCAGTCTTTAAATTCATTGACCCAGTTGTGTGCCACAATATTCCAGGTACTGTAGGTATGAAATGATAGCTAAGGGGTACTTTTGTAGTTTTAACAATGAAACATACTCATAAACATACTCAAATCTATGGTAGATGTATGAGAAATTAATGGTCATAAAGTTCCATGTATACTCACAATGAATTCACTTATGTATTTCAAGACATTTCATCAAGGCATTCAAGAGTAGTTCCTACATTGGACAGAAATGGCAATTTTACAATTATATCAATTTAATAAGTGTTTTTTTTCTGAATGCCAAATAAAAGATTACAGAATATTGTTTTTCCCTAATATGCTGTAAAACTGAACAGTGGAGCATAAATTGCTTATTTAATAGACATGATCAATAATATAGATAAAGTGCACAAAAAGTCTGTAACCCTCCAATATAATTATAGAAATGTCTTAACGTGATTCAATTGTTTACTTGAAACCAGTCTTGTCTTAATTAAGTAAAAAGGTTTATATTTACCTCTTCAATCTTTTTGTGACGGAATGGGGTAAAAAATGAATAATTAAGAATTTTTGTACGTAAAATACTAAGTGAACCCGTTGTTTACTTAATGTAATTAAGGGACTAATTAGAATCTGGTGGTTAAATAATTAAGTAACAAGTAAGCAAGCAGTTCTTTTGGGGAATGTCCTATATAATGATCAGAAACTTTGTGAGTCTGGCCTTCACCATAAAGGCAAGTAGAAACACGTCATGCCACAGTCAAAACTGATTTCAGGACACCTCAGAAAAAGAGCAGTACATCAGTCAAGAAAGGGTTTCAAAACCACTTTTAAACAACTGGATGTACATCTTTCCACTGTCAGATGGACGGAAATAAATGCCAGATGTCTGCAAATGGAAAATATTTGAGTCCATGGTGACTCTACCCAGGATTAGTCATCCTGCCAAGATCTCCTAAAAAAGAGCAACACAGAAAAAAATCTAGGAAGTCATAAAGAACCCCAGAGTAAAATGTAAGTTTATTGATTTACAGTATATATAATAATTTATTTGGGGATATTATGCATAGAATTTTATCAATTACATTTAGCATTAAAAACAGAAAAATAAATCCTTCATTAGTAGAGGGAATCCACCTGTGGCTGTGAAGATGACACAGCCATGCAAAATTCTAAAAGATTCAGTTGAAATGAGATTACTGACAAACTGCTAGAATTTGTGCAGTGTGACCTCTAAATGTCATTGACCATGTTATCTGCATACTTTTCACATTTTTCATTAATACTGAAATTGAATTCTAAATCTCTAGGAAAAATTCTTACATGAATCAAGGGGTTTTAATGTCTGTGCATGAAAACAATTAATTTAAGCAAATATCACATAATAAAGTAAAAGTTAAATTAAGAGCTGGAATGGAGAATTATACATAATAAATACACTTTTTACACTCTCTGAAATTACAGAATTACAGTTTTTGTGTTTATTCACATTTTTTCTTTATGTCCTGTTGTGTATATGGTCCATATGCTTTTTTTTTTGCTTTGCGGTTCTCAGACTTTTGACTGTTTATTTCAATACAGAAGTTTCAAAGTTATGCAAATCCATGTTTTTTTCATAATAACATTCATGCAAAGTAATGCTTCCTGAGGACAAGATAAGGTTTATGATTATGAAAACTAGACTGTGTAGTGCCTAGATATTTGGTAAATGAGATATCTGTGAATAAGAAAATATTTTTCATATTCATGTTTTACATGTTCTACTTAAGGATTTCTACAAGTAAATGCCTGACCATATTTAGTGTATGCATTTTTAGAATACCAATATGAAAAATATTTTTATCTTATTAATTAATAGCATACTGTAAAACATAACATTAAACAGTATCGAACTTTAAAATCCAATTATTTGCAGCAGTCTACATTCTGACAACTAGAATTAGTTGTAAAACGAAAGTTCAATTACTGATAGTAATAGTCATTTACAATAAACTTGTCTGGTTACCACCTGCATGTAAAATAGAATCTATTTTACTTCATGAGTCTGACAGTTGACTGCTATGATCTTTTGTAAACTTGATGAGTAATTGTAAGTTTTCATTATAATTAATATACATCAGTGTAGCTGTACAGTATGTACTGTAACACTGTACATATTGCCTTTTGTAGAAAGCACTATAAAACTGTCATCATTTGCTGTTGACTGAGTGAGTTATCACCTGTTACTTACATAAAAGCCATCAACAGGGAAGACATTCAAATCAGGATTGGAGAATTAATATTACACGGTATAATCTAGTTTATATGTAGATGGCTTTTTATTCATTTTTGTCTGCATTATAAAATAAAAAATGCCATTACTCACTGAAATGATGCCCGTAATAGCAATTGTGTTTCATTATTTAAATATTCTCTAAGGAAACCTTTAATTCTATATGCAAGTCATGTGCTGACTCTATACCTGTTTTTGTAAGATAAATTAAAGCTACTGTAGCTCCTAGCAATCATTCATTTTTCTTTCAAATGCAACACAAATACTAGTGTATACATTCTGTTTATTGTTAACATTCAAGAGGACAGATTTTGTAGTCTTTGCTTTATGTCATTTTTTAAACAAGTTGATAGATTATGTGGAAGCCCTCTTAAAAAGTTTAAATAGATTTCCTGTAAGCACCCTGCCCACCAAGAAAATGAATGCTTGCTGAGCTAAACTGTACTTTAACAAGCTTCTCTAAAGTTTTAGTGCAGGCAATACAGAAATTCAACACTTCAACAATGTGTTTCATTCTTAGGAGGTTGCTTTTTTACTAAATAAGAGTTTAAAGCTCCATGCCACAAACACAGCATGTGTGGTGAATGACTGATGACTGATTTCAGCACTAAGCCCATGCCAGCCATCTGATATTTTTGGGGTGAATAATTCATTATTTATAAACATTCTTTTTCCATGGGTTCAAATATCTGATTAAATAAGTATCCTTTAATGCTTTTAACAATACTTTCCATAGCTCACTAAGTTAATTTTCTCATTTGTAACTAAGCATTAACTGCATTGGCATTTGTTGGAGGTGATACGGAACTGCAGCTGGAATTCATTCTAGTGAATTTTGAAATGCCCCAGGCATGACATTTAGCATCTGCTGTGCTCTATTTCTTTATCATTTTGGTAATAGTCTGTCCTTCTTCTCTTCCCTAGTGATCAGTAAGGAAACTCCCTTTATAGATCCACAAAATCTGTCTCCTAACTATCATTGTACCCCATTGCATGAAGCAACATAGCGTGAAGCATCACGGCCGCATGCCGTGAGATAAACAGATGTAATGGTTCACTGGAAACATTAATAAATACCAGGGTACAAGATGGGCTCGTATCCTGGCTTGGCTTGATAGTGGGTATTATGAAAGAATAAAGACCCTGAATGAGCTTTTGAAGTTGCTCAATTCCCTATTGGACAGAACACTGTTGGCAGAGCACTGCTGGGGTTGTATGAGTGTGACATTCACCAGTCATTCTCTGGTGCTTACCTGAGAGTTTGCCATGTTATCAATGGGAGTGTTTTGTGTCTTATGTTATGGTGTACATATTAGGACATCAATACAAACTGCTTGTAAATGGCCTTCTCATTCCTCAATACCTTCAATTTAACTGCAATCAAAACATTTCTACCAAAAATCAGTAGTGTGACTCTACCTAGATTAGAGGGAGTTTCAGAGCAGAGAGGAGGGAGTTTACCTTTTCATACAGTAGATATACTGTGAAAAGTAGTGGATGTATTGCATATTTATTACTTTCAGTTCTACCGTCCACATACAAGAGCTGTAGTGGTATATCAAGTTGTTTGATTATAGTTCATACCAAAAAAGGTTATAAAAAATGATTCTGCATTAAAAAAAACAAATGTATCTGCACCCCCCCAAAAAAAACAGATAAAATAAATCATAAAAATCTGTCTTTGTGCATCCTGTTCACTAGTCCCACGATTTTTTTTTTCCATTTCAGGATCAGTCACCATTTATGCATTTACACAGAATGCACAATTTTTAAATCCATTCTAAAGTTGTTTTTTTCCCCAGATTATGTGTGTGGGTGCACATCAGTTTTAAGGAATACTGATTCTTACTTTATACTGTTTAATTTTGCTCCCCTTTATAAATAGAAATGTTACACCGAGGATGGGAGCAGTAACATACATAGGCGTATGGTTTGTGTAAACCTATTTTGCAAGCATTCTTAGTTTTACACATTTTGTGTTCTACAATTTTAGGATGTGAACAAAATGAACAAGTAGACTTAGTCTGATCTCCTCTTTGTATGCAAGAAACACTTAGATACCTCAGTTGAGTTCATGTTGGTGTTTGGAGTAGCCGTACCAAGTGTACAAGCATCTTTAGTTTACACTGAGTCGGTACCTGCACATTTGGTGCAGTCTGTGGGAAAGACCAACAATGGACTGTTTTTTCACGATAGCCTACCATCTATGCATGTTGCATAGAGTACTGTACTGTATATACTCCAAAGAGTCACACAAGCTGTGATTGGTAAGCTCTTCAAAGATGAAAGAACTTTATTTCGAAAGACGTGGTGAAGCCTAGAATTAGAAGTCACATTTCCTTCTTTCTTTATTCTCTTCTCCGCTGTAAAATAGATTAGTTTTGATGGCTGGCATAATATACAGGAGGAAGCTGTCAAATCTAATACTTGCAGTCATATCACAATACGTTTTCAATACATTTTCTTTTGTTTTATTGTTCATTTTATTGCTGTGAAGAGTGTTTAGTTATTCATTAAGTTAATATTTTATTTTACAACACAATTGAATATCACTTGCCTTTTTTGTTATTCATGTGTGTGTCTTAAGGCACCCACACAATTGTGTTTTTGGCTCAATGTGAGTTCTCAAGACCTATCTGATATGAAACCCTAATGAGAACTTGTTTTTGTCACATTAACAGAAAGGTAAAATCTTGTATAAAATTAGGTCAACAGTAAAAGGGATTCAATAAGTTACATATACAGTATTTTCACCCTTTTTTGTGTTGTAAAAAATAATTTAGGGAGAAAAGAAACTAGAAAGGGCTGCACTGTGGTGCAATTGTTAGCATTGCTGCCTCACAGCGCAGGGGCCCTGTGTTCACACCAGACCTTGGGTGCTACCTGCATGCAGTTTGTATGTTCTTCTTGTGTTCACATGGATTTCCTCCAGGTGCCCTGGTTTCTTCTAACAATTTAAAGAGACAGTAGTAGGTTAATTGGCTTCTGGGACAATTGGTCCTGACATGATGTGTCACCGTGTCTTGTGTCTGTGTTTGTCCAGCAATGGAGGAAGCAATGGTGTCCCATCCAGTGTGACTCCAACCCTGTATTCAATAAAGTGGTTAGAAAATGGAAAATCAGAAAAATTAGTAGGTCAGTTTATGAATTATAGCTGTGTAATGATGGTGGCAATATACAACTAAATCATTGTTTAAAACATTGGGAAATGTGTAAGTGTGGATAATAAACACAGTTGTCATGTGGAAAAAGGAACAATTTAGTAATGTGGACAGAAGGAATATCATAAAGGAGATAATGAATAAATAGGATTATTAGTAACAGAATGAAAAAGCTTAACTGAACTGATTAACAGTATGTTTGTGAAATGGTTTGTGCCCTTGCAACTCTACTTTACATTTCTTAAATAATATCTGTGTAAACAATACAGTTCCAGTCTGAATTCATGTTTTATGGAAGCTGTATTCATAACAGCAAGTATGTCAGATTTTTTTCTGTAGTTCTATTCTATCTAATCCCTCAATGCTGTGTTTTTATAAATGTTATTTTCCACATTTTTTCAATGTATTTTTGGAAGGAATATGCATTAACTTATATAATGTATGACAAAAAAGAGTTTAATTTTCAATTTCTCGTGACCTCAATTATGTTGGAAAATCAAAGTTAATGGGTTCAGAAAATAACCTACTTCAAATTATAACAATTCTTCATAAATCACATAATAAACTACAATGCAAATGCAATAAAAGATAATTTGACTCAGGTTTTACGAAGCATAAATCATTCAAATCAATTTGACTAATGTTAGAGAATGTAAGTAGATGGTGTTATAAATCAAAGAGTTTTCATGTTTAGAAATAGGAGTGTTTCTGTTGCAACTGATATGTCTGATACTTTTGCATTTATTGTCAGCAGGACCCAGGTGAGAAAAAAAATGGTTTTTTCAGGCTAAATGCTAAGAGGTCTGAAAATCATTATAACATTATCTTACATTTTTCTTTTCTACTTTCATTATTCAGATGACACAAAGATTGCACTACACCGGAAGGACAATGGGGGTAAGTTATATACTTGCCTAAGTGTGACTCTAAGATGGTCACAACATCTCTTCATGATAATCTGTTGCAATTAGTCTTCACACATCATTAATTTGAGTGACATTAATACCTTTCATTAACTGAAGAGACTTCTTCATTTTCACATTGACATTGCTGTGTGAGTGTGTGTCTTAAGAAGATTTATGACTTGGAATTTGTTTTAAACTACAAACAGCTTCTGTCTGTATGGCCTTTACACTTTTTACATGTGTTGTTATTTGATTTGATTAAGCTAATTAATAAAATACACAACTATTAAAATAAATAGAAATAGATATTGTCAAAGAGCTGTTAGCATCATTTTAAAGAGATTCCTAATGTCTTAGATAAAGATTTGCACACTTATAAACTAGTTACAGAAGAATTATCCCTATTGCAAAACCATCTAAGCACTTTCGCAACAATATAGCAGGGTAATGCAACATTTTGGTAAATGAGAAATTACATTATATTGAGGTTTTTCTATAGCTTCAATTTATGCCCTACATCTGCCTCTGCTGTCTGTACTTACAAAATTACAAAACAATTACAAAATGTTTAAGGGAATTATTCCAGGTGGAAATTGCCTCTGGAGGTCTGTGACACATGGGAGTACTAAAAAGTTCATTTCTGTATAATGATGCAGGTGTCAGCAGAGATACAGTATGTTCAATTTATATTATCAACACAGCACTATTTTTTTCTAGAAACTTTCCTATAGGTTGTAAATCTTGTAGCTGACTTGTATTTCCATATCAGATTTCCACTTTGTTGGTAATGTTTTATTTTTTTACTGACTGATTCTATCCATTTTTAAATAAAATTGGTTCTTGCTTTCTTGTACAAAAGTGCACACGTCAGTTTACTCCTAGACCCTTTACTCACCAGTGATTGAAACAATTCACCGTACAGTGCTTCTAGTGAAGCAATAAATCATTTTGTCATTAAGGACATGTAAGCTGCAGGCTGCTTTAAATGTGAAGATATATTATACAAAATCACAGCAACTTTGTCTTCAGAGTCATTTTAACTTGAGGGTGACTTGAACCATTTAAAAGGTAACATTTATCAAACATACCCATTGCTTATGATTCGGAGGACTGCAGCCCCAGTCTAGAAGAGAGGCGGGAGTTACACAATGAATGTAAATGATTTGGAGATATAATTTAATTGAGACTCCAATTGCCGCACACATTCCTGTATGATGGCTCTTCAACAAGAAACACATTATCGAACAGTTTGTGATCATGAAATCTTATTTACTGTAGTCAAGAGAATTAATTCAAAAGACTGGCCAGAACAAGACTTGATGTAACTTGTCAATGACAGAGGAGGCTTAAAAAGTGACACGAGACACGTTTAGATGGGATACAAAAGGAATATTTTTAAATACAATTAAAAATATTTTGTTCCATGTATTCCATTTATAGTAAGCTAAGGTACAATTTTAGATTATGATATGATAATACCTCATTGTCTGATTTCTCAGGAATTCGTTTAATGATTTTATATAATCAGAGTGCATAGGTAGTTGAATGACAATTTTATTATTATTAATCTGTGGAACAGAGAACAGCAACAGTGACTAAACATGGAACTTGTAGGGTTTGTGGCTATTCAAGTAAGATAAAAATGAGAAACATGTCTTGGTGATTTAAATTGTATACAGAAAATCTTTAATATTATGTAATTAATCAAACCATGCAGTTAACGTTCCACTTAGGTTTAATATGTATGGAAGTTTCATCATGAAACGTTGAGTCTTGTGTGTGAAAAGTATTTAAAGAGATATATCCTGTTAAACATTTTGGATGGACCTTGAGTTATGGAGCAAATTAAACCATGTCTTTCAGTTTAGTAGTAGTGATCGAGAATATGTACTATAGGCTTCAGGCTTTCAATTTTATTAATCCTGTTACAGTTCAAGAACAAGCAAAAATTAAAGAATCAAAGATAGTCAATCACATTGACTGTTATCCTTGAGGCAAATTCAAAAATGGAAGAAAAAATTAAATTCCTGAATGCAAGTGTTCCACTTCGATAATTGAAAATCAAGCTGTGGTAGAAAGGCATGCTGAATCTCTACTGCTTATTTCAATCCAGTTAAAACCTGACCAAAATTTAGAGCTGTACAACAGAAAAGTATAAGAAAAAGGGTTTTGAATGATCATTTTAGAAAATAAACATTGAACATATAAAGAACAAAAGGATATTCAAAAACAAAAGAAAGAAGAAGATATAAAAAAGATTTTGTAAATAACAATGCATCTTTCCAGACTGTCCAGTTATTGAACAAGCATAGCTAGCTGTACTTCTTTTGATAAGAACAATTTCTATAAATGAGTAGATCCAAGAATTAAGCAGAGTTCAGTCTTTACCCAACTCAACAAGATAGATCTGAGGCTCATTCACAAGGTTATAGCAGTTAGATCTAACAGTAAACTACAGAAAGCCAGAAACTCTTTATTACAGGTCTTTATCATAGTATACTAGTTTTTCCTGAAAAATGTTCTAAATTATATTTCAGTCACCAATAAGTCAATAGAGTCTCTCCTAAAGCTACTCAATAAACAGTCATCACATTGCAGTAATGACTTCAATTAGTAATGTACTGCAATTTATGCACATAAACTTGGTGTAAGAGTGATGGTCGGTGGCCATTGACACGTAATAGCGCATCCATTTTATTCATTATTATCACAGGCAATGAAGCACTAAAATGAACATGTACCTGTATATAACGTGTCAGGGGAATAGTCTTATTTTTTTGAAGAGATATCAAATACTTAATAACACAGAAAATGAGTGATATAATTAGGCTGCATAAAAATATAAAAAATAACTGTAACGAACAGTTCTTTCCGGACCCTATGCGGACGACACAATCCAAAGAAGTGGGGAAACACTGGGAAAACGTCATGCAGGAATACGGGGCTGAAAACAGGGGGGCGTGTCCAAAGTGCGCTGGTGCACGGGGGAGGTGTGGCTGAGGCAAACAATCCAAGAGAGTAATCCTTAGAGGGTATCCAAAAACACAAGAGTAAGTCCAAAGCCAGGAGATCCATCAAAACAAGGAATTAAAAACCATGAACCGGGTCGGAACCGGCGGACTAGGAACAGGAACAGAGGTTAAAACCTTAACGGGACCAGGCGCTTCCAGGTCCCGGACTCGCCTGGTGCGGAAACCAGATGCAGAGCCAGGATGAGCGTCAGCGCCTGGCTTTTAAGGTGGGCTGGAAAAAGGGATCAGGTGCACAGAATAAAGTCTAAAGTGAAAGGGCTGGAGCACCCTTAAGGAGGGGGGACTATAATCGTGACAATAACAATCCCACATAAAGCATCGAGTATGTTATACAGTATATTGCAGTTGAATTTTCAGTAGATACAGAATATTGCATGTGTTCTTCTTTCATGGATTTGAAACCTGCTCATATAAACAAACACTTCCTTCAGCACTTGCAGAATTGGTAACACCTTTCATATACAGTGTCTTTTGGCTTTTGGTGGGGAAACATTATAAATGATAAAAAATTTATTTTAGCCTGTCAGTGCAGAAAATTCAAATGAATATGTTTGCTTTTCTTTTTTGCATTCTCTGGACAGATTCCAGAGCAATACTATTTTCACCACTGTAACAATAATATATTATGTTTTCATTTTTACACTATGAGGTTTTGGCTGTGGAGCCTTCTTTGGGTGTAAGCTTACACATGAAGAAGGCACCACAACCGAAATGGTGTGTTTTTTTTCATCTCTTTTCAGCATGGAATAAACCTATTACTTGTTCCTCTAATTACACGCCCCACTACTACCACTATTAGAGCATTCACTCCTTAGTTTTTCCAGATTCTAGATTGAAGAGCAGTAATCCTTACAGAGATCCTGATGGTATTCCACAAACTCTTGTACTCTGTGTACAGTATATAGTAGAAATTTGAGTGATATCAGTACTTTATGTATGTAATTATGTTTGCTGTCCAGGAAGTTGATAGAGAAACTTTTATGCCCAGAAAAGGAAAGATGGTAGAGGCCACATTGGCAAAGAGTTTGAGATATGAATGGAAATTGGTGAACTTATACTGAAATTGCTGTAGATGTCTTGTTTAGGTGGCAGCACAACCTAGTCATTTCTTGTTGAAGTTGGGGTGAGACAGGAGGGCAGTTAATTCTACCTCTTTGTATTTTCTTGTACAGTACCTACTGCAGCTGACAAAACTGTTGCATTCAAGGTGCTGTAAACATATCATATTATGATCACAGTTCCCTGATACCTGACAATCCTGCTCAGTCTATCTTTCTTGAAATTGATTAAGGATGCCTTAGTTTCTTTAGCCTTAGGAAATTGAATTTCAGCTACTAAAATGTCATGTTATGTTTTCCAATCTATGTAACGAAAGCTAAAACCTTGAAAGACTATCTTATTATTTATATCTAAACCTGAGGTATACCTCTAACATTGTGCCCTTTGAAGGCTTTTTGTAAGTGTGACCCATGGAGAGTCCCTTGTTTCAGTTAAGTGCCTGTGCCTGAATGCTTGTTTTGATATAGAGATGCAGCCACTCAGAACATCCGTTAATTCTTAGTACTGCATTGGCGATACTGCAGCATTGTACGTTATGTAATTTACTGGCGAATGAAAATCGATAGTGGTTCTTGGTAGCAGTCTGGGGTTTAATGGGTGGTCAAGACATACTGTAGGTCTCTGAAATGTCTTGTCTGTAAAATTGTAATGTACATACAGTAGGGAAACTTGTATGTTGTATATTTATTTTTTGTGTAGTGTGGTGTGTATTGTCATTGTTAAGAAATATTTGTTTAAGTGTGACTGAATTATTACCCTTTTCACCAAAGCTGTGACAAAGAACAAAGAAATCATGTTCCTTTAACTATACCATCCATGAAAATGCTCAGGTACAGTATATTCTCGGTGAAATCCTTACAATTTTGGGGGTCATTTACTGATTTTAACAATATCATATATA